GGAGAAATATTACGCATGGTGGTTCACACCTATAATCCCACCATTTGCGAGGCTGAGGCAGGAAGAACTCTCCAAGTTCAAGGCCAGCCTGAAGTACATAGCAAGACCTTGTCCACAAAAAAAAAAAAAAATATATAGATAGATAGATAGATTTTTATATTTTAAAATAAAAAAAAGTTTGGAGAAGAGGCAGATACATAAAGCTTTACAGCTACTAATAAAATAATATGTTGGGGAAACAACAGAAGAAAAATATAGACAGATACTACTAACATCTCTAAAATTCTACCAATATAAGCAAAACAGAATTCAATAACTTCAGAGACAAATGACATCACAGACTAATTTAAGACAGAAATGCTATACCACATTCAGAGTGCTAATGGCCACAATCCAGCAAAGGGAAAAAAGTGACACAGGACAGAAATTGCTATGATCTGAAAATCACCAAAATTCATGTGGTGAAACTTAATTCACTGCAGTGGTATTCAGAGGTTTCAAAAGTGATTAAGATATATGAGTCGTGTCCTCATGAATGTATTACCACCTAAAATGAGCAGGGCAAGCTGGACATGATGGTGCACCCCTGTAATCCCAGCATTCAGGAGGCTGAGGCAAGAGGATCACTGTGAGTTTGTGGCCAGCCTGGGCTACATAGTAAGTTCAAAGCCAGCTTGAGCTACACAGTGAGACCTTGTCTCAAAAAAAAAATTGATCCTTTCTGCCCTTCCACCTTTGGCTACATAAGGCCTCTCTGCCACGAGAGTATACAATAGCATGGCCCTCAACAGACAATGAGTGAGCCCGGGCTTCCCAGTCAAGAAGACAACAACTAATGGCCAAATATACCATGGCCACGCAGACCCAGACTAAGCAGCAAGCTCACAAGTGAGTAAGCTAAAATTGAAATAAATTTTTATTACTTACAAATTACTCAGTCTAATGTATTTGGTTACAGCAGCTCAAACAACTGTAGAAGAAACATTTCCAGGTGAGAGGAAATGCAATCTAGAACGTAAGAGAGAGGATTTAACCCAGAATAAGAGATGGTTTAATGAGAAAGATAGTAAAATGGGTTCAGATGTAGATAAGCTAATGAACTGTTGGTAAAAAGGACAGGAAGTTGTCCTGTGATTTCATTTTCTCAATAAAGAATGAGGTAAGGGGAGTTTAAATTGGAGGTGTACGGAAAAAGGTTTAAAATACTGGTTTCCAAGAACAAACATACTAAGGAATTATAAGAATGTTAGCAGTATTCAGTGTGTATTTGAATTGAAATTGTGTACTTAAAATGAGACTAACGACAAAATTATTTTTCTCCATCTGTGTTCAGCTCTGAGGTACAACAAACAAGTTGGCCAGGTTGGTTTTAATCAGTTTTGTGATTTGCCAGCTGAGTGAAGCCAAAGAATATAGGGGCAGGGAAATTAAAGATTGTTTGCAATATAGTAACTACAATGATAGACTACTAAATCCAAACTAAGAAAGGAGGTGAAGAGGACACAAATGCTTCAAAATGCATACCTTAAATCGCCACACAATTTGTAAACTCCTAAGGCAAAACCCTTATAATATATACCTCGCCAAAGCACAATAGTGCTTTGCTAATTGATGACTCTTCTGTATCCCAAAACTCCAAATGACACAAACATACCGTATCACTTTTCTTAAAGTTAGTTTCTAATGATTTAAGAAAAATAAATTTATGGTTAAATATTTGCATTCTAAGGTGCAGATGACTGGGTTCTCATATTATTTCCATATAAACAGAATAATTACTGATTAATCACAGGAAGACAGACAATGGCAATAGAAACTTAATCACAATTAACTTCACGTGGGAAAATAAAACCTACTTACTACAGGGTATCTCATCTAAGAACAACTTCTGTCCCATAGAATAAAAACTACTGCTTTTCCAGGTACTCAGAAAACGCTAGACTCAGATGAACTGGACTTCTACTATCTTGTAAAGAATTTAATGTAACTAGTAGTTATCTGACCATCTGCTATAAATCTTAGTTTATCTGACTTGCTCAAACCATTTTTACTACTTTATTCTTTTCATATTTAACGAATGTCAAAGAAATCCTTGAGAAGACAAAACATACTTTTAGTAAATTAGATTCAAATAAAAATTTTGTAGAGAGATTTTCAACTATTCTTTTGCATGTGACCAAACTATACAGTTCCATCAGCTCCATTTAAAGAAATAAAGAAAAAAAAAAAAGAAAGAAAGAAAAAATGGGTCCAGATAACATGGTAAGAGCTAAAAAAGTTTAAACTTTGATAAAACAAGGTTTTTCAGTCTGTTATCGAAGTCACTAAGTACAACAAACAAGCCATTAGCAAAGACGTGAAATAATTTCCTTACCTGTAATATGAGAATAAAGTAGATACTACTAAAGATTTCTTTCTAGTCTCAAAATTCGGTATCTAATCTACTGTTTTGTACTTCTTTCACAGGCCTTTGAGAAAGGGAATACTAAGTCAGTCTTTCAATTCATGATACGTTTTCTTCTAGGTTACATTTAACAGATTACAATTAACATGAAAAAAAAGACAAAATGTTTTTAGATTGGAAAAATCTAGGCCATCTAAGCTAATTACTGGTAACATTCTCACATCACGCAACTGTTTCTCATTCAAATTTCTCTCACCATTCTCCTTTATTTTTTCTTTCCTGGCTTAGCAGGGGCACTTTCTCAGAACTGTAAGGTTCATGATCCCAGAAAGAACTTATTTGGGCAAACAGAATCTAATAGTGTGCTACTCACAAAAGAACTTTTCTTATTTTTATATCCCTGTCACCAATTCCAGGGTCTCTACCTGGCAGACCCCTAATTTACTCCTCTATGTAATGTATTACACCAGTGATTCTCAAAGTGTTGGTCACCTTGGAATCCTGCTAAAAATGCAAAATTTTAGGTCCCATTAAGACCTACTTAATCAGAAACTCTGAAAGGGTGCCCAAAACCCTGTGTTTTTAAAAACTCTATATGAGATTTTGGTGTGCACTCAAGTTTGAGAGCCACTGTACAAGAAATTACCTTCTTGTTAGTGACTGCTAATGGCTAACCAAAAAAAAAAAGCTGATTTTCCCCATTTCCCACCGCATAGAAATCCTGGAACCCATATGATACTGTCAACAATTTAACTCCTGTCTCTAGCCTGCACACAAGATGAACTTTAATTATGCTCCCGGAGCTTCAGATCCACCATCTGTAAAACAGGAACAATACCACATAGGTCCATGAATAAGAGATGGCTTACAGTAAGGCTCCTGTCCTTTCTACTCTATCACCTATACCAAGTTCCAACTATTTTACACAGGCAATGGCCACAAATAAGAAAGAAGAGGGCACTCCAGCCCTCTGAGAAATTGAGTGTTCTTACACAGAAAAGCTAATAGGGTTTTTTTTAATTAAAAATATATTACAGAAAGGAAATGTTAAGAATTTACAGAATCATTTAAAAAAATTCTAAAAAGGTGGTCAACAAATTAGTGGAAAAGCAAATGATACAAAAATGTGCACCTCCATAATTTTAAAAATTAAAAAAGTGACATCTGAGCATAAGCAAGTTATTCTTTTCATATTTAACGAATGTCAAAGAAATCCTTGAGAAGACAAAACATACTTTTAGTAAATTAGATTCAAATAAATGCTTACTTCTCTTAAGTATTCAAAATAAATCATTAAGAATAATTGAATATAAATAATATGGAAGAGATCTGGAATAGAGTAAATACACATTAACTGTATATTAAATATTTATTAAAGTGGTCTAAGCATTCAACTTCAAATTTCCTATATTTTCTAGGGCAGCCTCACTGTCAAATTTCTTGGCCCAACATTGTCACACTACATAGTCTATCTTCTAGCTTAAAAAAAAAAAACCTATGGCCACCAAGAAACAAAACACCCCTGCCTTTAATGAGACCTAAGAACCAAAGAGTATTACCTACCAAAAAGAGGCTGAGGCAGAAGGATCGTTGCAAGTTCGAGACCAGTCTGTGCCACAAAGTGAGCTCAAGGCCGGACTGAACTGCATAGTGAGACCCTGTCTCAAAAAGAAAAAAAAAAGGGAGAAAGACGACAATTTTAAGAGGATTTCACCACATACAATTCCTAAGTTCAGTTCCTCCTTCTCTCGAAACGGAAGTGAATATCCAAATGTTTAATTTGACCTCCCTGACAACTATTCCCTTTCATGGAGATGAAAATTAATCAGTGCATGTGACAGACGTGTCATTATATTCGAATATTCAGCACCATAACTACGCTGGGGGCATTCGCCAAACTGGCACTTTCGGCTTTAATTCTTCCTCCTCCGCGCTGACACCCAAGATGGGACAGCCCTCTATTTTTCTTCCCCGCAGCAGCCAACGTTCCAGTCTGGAGCAGTGAAATTTAAGCGCCCCTGTCCTTTATCAAGAGACCTTTTTTACTTCAAGGAACTTTCAAAAGCGCAGCCAGCCATAAGCTGAACTGACACCGCGCCGGGAGTTGGAAAAACCACAAACTTGGAGCCCTGCCCTGTGGGAACCCGAATCCCGACAGCAACTCCTGATGCAGCGACCTCGCCACTTCCACGCACGTCACAGAGCGGCGCACCGTGACGGCCACTACTTTCTATGCAGCCAGCACCGTCCCCTGCTCCCCGGCCGCCGCCACCTGGGAACTCCACAGCGACAGGCGACGGACTCCCATCTTGGCCACCGCCTCCTCCCGCACCAGGCGCCGAGCGACAGTCCCCTGCGAGCTGGACCCGCGTCCCCGGACGGCCGAAGTTAGGACCCGGGCACCGCCGGCGTCCTCGCTCTGCCCCAGGCAAACCCGGAACCGGCGGCCGGCCCCCGCCCAAGCCCGGCTCGGGCCCAGGCCGCGCCGCGCGCTCCTCCGTTCCGCCCGCGCCGCCTCGAGCCTCGCGCCCGGGGCGGCGGGACGCGCGGGAGACCCCGGCCCGGGACGCGCTGCCCCGCGAGGCAGGAGACTCACCTTCGTACTGCAGGTCCACCAGGACCAGCAGGAAGGGGAACACCGTGCCCAGCCGGCTGGTCACGGAGCCGGGGGCCACCATGTCCGAGAGCGGGATGCGAGGAGGAGGGTGCGCGGCCCAGCAGCCCGCGCGGGCGCCCAGTACACACTCGCCCGCCTGCAGCCGACTCCCAGGCCTGAGCCGCGGCGGGCGCCCAGCAGGGGAAGGCAGCGGTGGGCGGGGCCCTAGCGACGTTACGCCCCGAGCGCCACCGCGGGCCAATCACCTTCCTCCAGGCCGCGGGGCGCCCGGACTCGGATGGGTCGTGGTTGGCGCTGATTGGCCTCGGAGGCCGCCGCCCCGCCCCTCCCCTGATAGGATAACGTGGAAGCACGAGACTAGGCTACGTCCATAGGCCGTGGAGCTGTCAGCGGGCTCCAAACCGCCGCGCCGCCTGGAGGGAGGCGGCTAGGCAGTGCGCTGCGGCCGCCGAGTCCGCATGCGCGAACCGCGGAGCTCTCCGGGGCCGGTTCGGAGTGCGCTGGAAGGCAGGAGCGCTTCGAGGTTTTCCGGTGTGGTGCTTGGGGAGGAGGGTGCGGCCGCTGCGTCCGGAAAGTCAAAGCCAGATAGGGTCGCGGGAAGTCTGAGGACGGGAGTTGGGGCCTCGGGACGCCCGAGCTTCTGGGAACACAAACCGACTGCCCGGAGAAAAAGCAAGAAACCATCAGGAGAAGCTGGGCCCTGGTAACTAAGGTCGTCTAAGAGTGGGGAGCGTTTCAGGGGACCCCAAGAGAAGCGCGTACTGAGCTGAGGCGGTAACAAGGCTCGGGAACTCGGGAGCTCCCTCACTCCCGCTGTGCAGCCACCCTGCGAGTCCAGAGGAAGAAAGAACAATCTGGAAGGTCCTGTGAGGAAGACACTAGGACAGCGGCTCGAGAAGGCAAAGTCAGCTGTAAGAGAGACCTGTTGGAACCTTTCTTGCTCTGACCAGGAAACTCAAGAGAGATAAAGAGCAAGAGAAGGTTGAGCTTCTCTCTGGCCTGAAGCTTGTTGCTGGCCCTGCCCTCCGACGTGAACACGTGGTGCGCCTGGGTTGTTCTTCCGGGGAGAACAGTGGGTTTGTGCTTGTGAAACACTGCAGCGTTACCATAGGCTTTAGAAGCCCTCGCGGATTCTCTTTTTTTTTTTTTTGGTTTGTGGGGGCTGGGGATTTAGCTTGCCTGCCTGGCAAGCGCAAGGTCGTGAGTTCGGTTCCCCGTACCAGAGAAAAACCTCGCGGATTCTCAATAGGATGGCAAAGTTGTGATTTCCTGAAGAGACACTAAGGAGGTAAACGGAGAAAGGCTTCTATTCCAAAAGAGGCCGATAGGAAAGAAATGATTTTTAAGAAGACTGAGTCTCTGATTAGCTGTGAAAGAGCGGGGGATTCAGACCCAGGAAACACCATGACTTAATAGTATATAAGTTTAAAAGTTCATGTGTAGAGCGGGGAAGATTCTGATAGCCCTGAAGGTCCAGTTTCATGAAGCTGGTGACGGTTCCCGTAGACAGTAGTGTGATAGGAGAGCAGAATAATGAAGATGCTACTTCACGAACGCCTTGTGGGTTTTTTTTCCTTCCTTTTTCAAGATGTCACAAAGCAATATGAGTGGGAAAAAAGCACATGATTTCAGTGCCTACAAGAATATTAATGAAGATGTCATGCAAGTGAGGTACTTGCAGCCAAGGCAGCCAACGAAATGCTGAACACTGGAAAGAGTTTAGTGAACAAAATGCAGCGCTCCCAAACTAGGAATTCTCGCCAAAATGCTGCCCATGATTCTGGCTTCAAGGAGAGGCAGCAGAGTTGAAGTTCTGTGGAGGGAAATTAAAAATTATTAAGGAGATGGTGACAGATCAGTTCAGACTGAGGAGGTTTGGGCAGCCGGAAGATGAGACAGTCTTGGAAAGCCTGAAAATGCCTTTATCTCAATTGTGCACTCACGTGGCAGTCCTCAGGCCCTAACCTGCCTGCTGCTAGTCCAGCAGTATACTGTGTAGGGATCTGCCCAGTAGTGGCAACATGCCAATAGCAGCCTTGGTTATATCAGTTATTACACTGAGACCGACAGGTGTGCCTGCACAGAAATCTTACTGACGTTGGTTTAATGGCCACCGGAAATCACACACACACAGCCCGAATCATAGCGCAGCCACCTTAGGCTTCATTTTTCCCTACAGCATGGTGGTATATGCCTGTAATACCAGCACAGAGAGACCAAGGGGGAAAATGGCAAGTTTGAGCCCAGCCTAGATAATTTAGCAACTTAGCAAGACTTCTGTCTCAAAATAATGAAATAGATATGTAGCTCAGTGCAAAGACTTGGGTTCAATCCTGAGTACAGAAAGAAAGAAAATCTTAAATTCTGGGTGATCATAAACATTTTTTTTGTCTTTTTTGAGACAGAGTCTCACTATACAGTTCAAACTGGCCTTCAGCTCATTTTGCAGCCCAGGCTGGCCTCAAACTTGAAAGGATCCTCCAGCCTCAGCCTTCAGAGTGCTGGGATTACAGGTGTGCACCACCACCCACACCCGACTAATCATAAGTATTTACTGATCAGTTACATAACTATTAATCCTGTAATATAACTACATTTTACAAAGTATACCTTGAAAGAGAATTTTATAACATATAAGGTAGCATTACTTAAATTTGCAAAACTAAAACTAAATATATGGTAATCTATATTACCTATGATTTTAATAGCAACAGATTTAAAACGACATATTTAAAGAAATTATGGTATATCCAACATTGAGAATATTGTATAATCTTTGAAGATTGGTCTGTAGTTTTGGAGTTTTCTTTTTTGGTTTGGGAGGCTTTTTTGCTTTGCTTTGTTTTGTTTAATTGAGAGAGTCCCACAAAGTTGCCCAGGGTAGGCTTAAATTTGCAATCCTCTTTCAGGCTTCCAAAGAGTTGGGATTACAAGCATGTGCCACCATGCCTAGCTGATCTATATTTTAAGACAATGCTATGTCTTCTGATTTTATTACATGAAATCAACAATTGTATATTTTATATATCATGAGTAAACTTAAACTTTCTAAATTTCTAAATTAAGTGACAGTGGCTAGTGTCTTTAAAAGTTTGATCTTATGCCAGGTATGGTGGCACATGTTTGGAATCCCAGCACTGGGAAGGCAAAGGTGGGAGGACTGCTATGAGTTTAAGGGCAGCCTGAACTACATAGCAAGACCCTGCCTCAAAAAAAAAAAGTTTGGTCTGATAAAATTCCTATAATAAAACAAATCATAAGGAATTATTTTCCAATTATTACATCTAAATTCAAACGTATAAACAATTGCATTAAATATAAATTTTATAACGCAATAATTAAAGTCAAAATAACCAAAATGTATTTTTTGAAATAACATAAATAAAAACTGCCTACAAGAAAAGGATCAACCTTTACATTGTGGTCAATTGGTTTTCACCAAGAAGACCAAGACAACTGAATGAAAGAATAGTCTTTCCAACAAATGATGTTGGTATATCCATGTGAAAAAGAATGAACTTAGACCATTTCCTTACACTGTGCACAAAAAATAATTCAAATTAGGTCATAAAGGTAGATGTAAAACCTAAAACTATAAAACTCGTCAGAGAAAACAGAAGTATAATCTGCAGTTACATAAGGCTTGATACAACACCAAAAAGAGAAAAGAACAAGAGGAAAAAATAAAGTTTCATAAAAACTTAAAGTCTTTGGTCACCATCACGAAAATGAAAAACACACAAAAGTGAGGAAAATGCAAAACATATATATGATGAGACTTGTACCTACGTGAATAACTTTTACAAACTCAAAAATAAAAAATCAAATTTAAAACAGCAAAATATCTGAGTAGGCATTTCTCAAAAGAGATATAAAAATGACCAATGAGTACATGAAAATTTGCTCTACATTAAACCTAAAATCTACATTTACATTTAGCCATTAGGGAAATGCAATTCAAAACCACAATGAGATACCACTTTTCATCTGTAAGGTTATCATGAAGATGAACAACGGCAGAAGTTGGTAAAGATACGGAGAACTGAAACAATTATATTTTGCTGCTGTGAATGTAAAATGGTACAGCCACTTTAGAAAACAGTATCAAAAGTACTGTAAGACTGAGTAATTCCACTCGTAGGTGTATAGTCAAGAGAACTGAAAACATGTTCACAAAAATCTTGTATGTGAAGTTCATAACTATATGTTAGTAAAAACCAAAACAGAAGCCAGATGTGGTGGTGCATGCCTATAATCATAGTACTTGGAAGGTTGAGGCAGGAGGGTCACCATGAGTTCAAGGCCAGCCTGGGCTACATGGTGAGTTCAAGACCAGTCTAAACTACATAGCAAGGGGCTGGGGATTTAGCTCAGCGGCAAAGCGCCTGCCTGGCAAGCGCAAGGTCGTGAGTTCGGTTCCCGGTACCGGAGAAAAACCAAAAAATTAAAAAATAAATAAAATAAACAAAAAATAAACTACATAGCAAGACCCTGTCTCAAAAAAATGAAACTGCTCAGGTGTGCAACAACAAAAAAATCAGGAAACTGCAGCAAACCCAGGCAAGCAAAATATTATTTAGCTACAAGAAGGAATGAAATACTGATAAGCACTACAATATGTTTGAATACTGAAAAAAGATTCTACTAGTTAAAAGATTGGGGTCACAAAGGATAGAAATTGTATGCTTCCATTATATGAAATGTCCAGAGTAGGCACATCCATACGGGGAGGACAAAGATTAGTGGTACACAGAGGTTAGGAATAAGGAGGTATTGAGAGTGACTGCTACAAAAAGTTTCCTTTTGAGGAGATGAAATTTTCTACGATTAGGTAGTGGGATGGTTGCATATGTTTGCAAATATACTAAAAATCATTGAACTATACACTTAAATAAATGAATTGTATCACATGACATGACAACTTTTTTTAAATGCAAAGTTAGAAAAAGTATATATCATGCAAACACTATCAGAAAGCTAAAGTCTACATTTTAAGTAGCCACACTCAGAAGATAGAGTGGTTGTTGCAGGTCCCCCTGGGGAGGGAGAAGAGATTTCACTCAATGGATACAGAGTTTTAGTTTTTCAAGCTGATAAAGTCCTGGAGCTCTATTGCACAATACTAGGCATTTACAATAGCCCATATCCTACATCATAAAACAAATCTTAAATTTAAAAGGATTGAAATCATAGAAG